GTTATCCACAATAAATAGTATATTCGACCCTATAGGATTTATTGCCCCAGTCATCATCCAAGGCAAGTCACTCATGAGGAGTCTACTTCAAGAAACAGTCAATTGGGATGAACCTCTTCCAGAAAATCAGTCTACTCAGTGGGAAAAATGGAAAAGCTCCTTACAACATCTCCAAAACCTACACATTCCAAGAGTTTACTTAGAACAGACACAGTCATGGAGTGAGATGTCTAACAAAACAATTCACATTTTTTGTGATGCTTCAGAATCAGCAATATCAGCAGTGGCCTATGTAGAATCACAAGGAAACTTTGGATTTGTCCTCGGCAAATCAAAACTAGCGCCCTTACAAGGACATTCAATACCCCGTTTAGAACTTTGTGGCGCTGTGCTAGCGGTGGAGATTGCTAAGTTTGTATCAGAACAGCTTGAATTACCGATTGAACTTTTCAAGTTTTACTGTGATAGTAAAGTAGTGTTGGGATATATTTTCAACAATTAAGGAGATTCTTTCAGTATGTGGCAAACAGAGTGATGCAGATTCGTAAAGTGACTAAACCAGATCAGTGGTCATACATATCAACAGACAAAAATCCAGCTGATCAAGCAACGAGACAGATACCAGCTCAAGCTCTACAAGACAGTACTTGGTTGTCAGGACCATCACTTGCACACTTACAACAGACTGAATATGCAAGTATACCCTATGAGATGGTGGATCCAGATTCAGACAAGGATGTCGGACAAGAAATCACTTGTTTAAAGGTTGATATCTCGGGACTCGGATTGAAATCAGAAAGATTCTTACGTTTTTCTCAGTGGAGGAGACTTGTTGAAACTATCGCCAGACTTCAACATATAGCGCGATCCTTTCATCAAAGAGACAGTAAATGTTCTGGATGGCATGTGTGTGAAAATTCAAAAACCGTGGAAAGTTTTGACAAAGCTGAGAAATTTATCATCAAAACTGTGCAGAGTGAAGTGTATTCAGAAGAAATTCAGTGCATTTTGAAAGAAAAACCTCTGCCTAGAGATAGTAACATTCTACCTCTTTCACCATTCTTGGATAAAGATGGAATTCTGAGAGTCGGCGGACGTCTCAACAAAAGTTCTCTACCAATCAGTGAGAAAAATCCAGTGATAATACCAAGAAACCATCACATAGCGTTGTTGATTGCTCGTTACTACCATGAACTCTGTATACATCAAGGTCGCCACTTCACAGCAGGAGCAATTCGTAGTGCTGGATTCTGGATAATAGGAGCCAGAAGATTAGTTTCATCCATGCTTCACTACTGTGTCAAATGCAGAAAATTACGTGGAAAACTATTGTGTCAAAAAATGTCAGACCTTCCTACAGATCGTTTGGATCCTGGCCCACCTTTTACATACATCGGCCTAGATACTTTTGGTCCTTGGGAGATAGTTACTCGACAGACGCGTGGAGGATCTGTGAACTCAAAAAGATGGGCGATTTTATTTACCTGTCTTACAACGAGAGGAATTCACATTGAAGTTGTGGAGGAGTTAAGCTCCTCATCATTTATCAACGCCTTTAAGAGGTTTGAAGCCATTCGAGGAAAAGTTACCCAAATTTGTTCAGATCAAGGAACCAATTTCGTGGGTGCTATAAATGACCTGAAAATCGATTCATCTGGACTCAACATAGCAGACCGTAAAATCAGAAACTTCCTTTACGAGTGTGGAACTACTTGGAAGTTTAACCCACCCCACTCTTCGCACATGGGTGGCGCATGGGAACGCCTCATTGGAGTCGTAAGACGTGTAATTGATGCTGTTATGTTGGAGATACCGGCCAGATCTCTCACTCATGAGATACTTACAACATTCATGGCTGAAGTTTCAGCGATCGTTAACGCCAGACCGTTAGTCCCCTTATCGGAAGATGCAGATGATCCGTACCCACTGAGCCCTTCTATGATACTTACCCAGAAAACTCCTGTGATCGTCGACTTCCCTGTTGACAAGATGAACATGTATCAAGCTCAGTGGAAACGCGTACAGCATATGGCAGATTTATTCTGGACACGCTGGAGGAAAGAGTATCTTCATACTCTACAGATTCGTCGCAAATGGACGCGCATTGAAAGAAACATTACGAAGGGTGATATTGTGTTGCTTCGCGACAAGAATGTTCACCGTAACCTTTGGCCTATGGGTGCCATTGTAAAAACGTTCCCTAGTGATGACGGGAAAGTGCGGAAAGCCGAAATACATGTGGTGAGACGTGGCTGCCAGCCGTCCACATTTATCCGTCCGGTGACCGAGATAGTGTTGCTTCTTGCCAATGACGTAGTGTAGTTTATTTAACTTTTGTGATGTTACAAACATCAGACGGGGAGTGTGCTGTCACAGTTCTTATTTTTTCATTTATATCGTTTTGTAATATGCAGTGAAATATGTGAATCATATAGAGTTATCGTTCTTTGTCAATTTTTTGAATTATCTTCCTTGAGTAGAACTCTTTTGTGTATAGAGTTACTTCCCTCATTTTCCCATGCAAAATTTGTTCAGCCATTCAAGTTCCATCTGTGAAGAAGTACATACATGTTTTTGTTCTTCCTTCTACCTTCTTTTGATTTGTGGCCTACTACCATGCAAGTTTTTTTTTAAAGGAAACTTTTGTGATGTAATGCATATTATTTGTAAGTTATTTCGGTAATCATTTTTTGAGAAACTTTGTATTACTATTGTAAACACTTTTCAGTCAGGTATTTTTCACGAAGTTTTAAATCAGGAAAGATTTGAGAATTGATTATTGTTATTCATTTTATTTAGTAATTGTTAAAGTAATTGATCTATTATTATGGTTAGGTTTAAATGTGAGCTTTTTTCTATGGAACTCTGTTTCGGTCTTTTTGGTATTTAGTATTTGTTTTGTTTACTTCAGTTATTTACCTGTCTCATCCTCATTGAATCAACCACTCATTCATTTACGTACCGCAATAAATATGGAACCAGCACCTTGTGTTATTGATTATGTGTGACTGTGAGGACCCCCAGGTTTAGCTAGCTGTTCCAGACAGCATACTTCCCATACCCTTCCCCTGTAAAATTATGAAGGTCTAAATATGGGATCCAGGATGTTAGCCAGGCCCCCGGACATTGTACTCTATTTATTATAGCATTATACGTTTTTTTTTTCAATTTTGATCGGGTTAGCTAAATAGGTTTTCGATCTTGTAACATAATTTCCTTTTGACAGTGAAAGGGTCCCTCCCATATCCCTCCCCTTTAAAAATATGAAGGTCTAAATATGGGATCCAGGATGTTAGCCAGGCCCCCGGGCAATGTACTCTTATTCAGAAATACATATTGTGATTTTTTTTTCCAATTTTATTGATAAATAACGCCCAGCAGTTTTCATACTTTATTAAATTTGTAGCATGATGACGTATAACGACGATGTTACGGTAACAACTGAAATAACAAAACAATATTTTACTTACAATAAGAAAATTTAGAATTCACACTCATACAATATCTTACACACTATGCCAAAAAGTCAAAGTTTTCCGAAAAATGATAGAAAATAATTTTATACACATACAAACAAACTCTACAAATAAGAAAAAAACACATACATCGTTGCGCCTTTGCACCACGGAACCAGTGACTGAGTGAGCGTCCCAGACGCTGTTGGGGGAAAATGTAGATGGACTGCGACCTAGTCGCACGGGAAAAAATGTCTACCCCAAACAGTTTAACGTAAACCGGAAGAAGACAGCGCAGGCTAAAAGACGAACCAAAAACGGCACTGAGAATTCCGGTGGCGTTACACTCCCCGCCTGACGTTTCTTAACGTCACTCTTTTGATGGTGTAAACAGGTGTACAATCTCGGTAATAGGTCTCACACAAGTAATACAGGTTTCATTTCTAATAGTGCGTAGTTCCACTTTCCGAACATGACCGTCCTTACTCGGGAAAGTTCGTTGAACGACTGCCATGGGCCATTCGTATCTTACAGTGTCTGTATCCTTCAAGAGCACTACATCATCAACTTTGATGTTTTCCTTAGCACAAGTCCACTTCCGCCTGCTTTGAAGACTGTAAAGATATTCTTGCTGCCATCTTTTCCAAAACTGGTTGGCTAAAACTTGGGTGTGTTTCCATGATGATTTGTACATGTCCTTCACATCAACTGCTTGAAACGGTCCATAATCGACGTCAGTCTTTTGTGTCAGCAATACTGAAGGGGAAAGAACTGATGGTTGTGTTGGATCCACAGACACATTAGCTAATGGCCGACTGTTGATGATAGCACAAACCTCGTACATAAAAGTATTCAAAACATCATGTGTAAGCGGTTTCTTTGACTCCATGATGATTGCGTCTAAAATTCTGCGAGCTGTTCCAATGATCCTTTCCCATATCCCTCCCATATGGGATGCATATGGTGGGTTAAATATCCAAGTAGATCCATTTTCCACCATAAACTTCTTCACTGTTTGAGACTCTATGTTGATAGCATGAATGTTAAGTGCATCTGTACTTCCCACAAAATTAGTCCCTCTGTCAGAATGAAATTCGGTGACCTTGCCACGTATTGCTATAAAACGTCTTAGGGAATTGATGAAGGCACTGGATGACATCTCGTCCACCAGTTCAATATGCACTGCTCTGCTCGTCAAACACGTGAATAAGATTCCCCATCTTTTAGAATTAGCAACTCCTCCTCTTGTTTTCCTAGCTGTTACCTCCCAGGGTCCAAAAGTATCGACTCCCACATAAGTGAATGGTGGTGATGGTTTGCATCGGAAATCGGGTAAGTTGCCCATTTTTTGTGTTTCTACTTTGCGTCGTAACTTTCTACAAATTACACAGGAGTATAATAATGATGATATAAGTCTCTTGGCACCCATGACCCAATAACCTGCAGATCTTACAGCACCTTCTGTAATGTGACGTCCTTGATGTTTAGATTTCTGATGATAGTGTTCTATAAGTAATCGTGCCACATGCGACTTTTTTGGAACAATTATTGGTCCGTTAGCTCCAGCTAATACGTCTCCAGTGAGAATCCTGCCTCCTACTCGAAGTAGACCTTCATTATCCAGATATGGGTCCAGACTTTGTAGCGGACTACCTTTAGTGACTGGTTTATGCTCTTTAAGTCTCTCTATATCCTGCCCATAAGCTTCAAATTGTGCACTTTTGATCACAAGCTTTTCCATACTTTGGTAAAGCTTTGTCTGACTGAGTTCTTGAAGCTTGAGTTTCTGACGAATAGCACTACGCATGAATGATAGTCCTCGAATTAAAGAGTTCCAGGTTGAAAATCTTGTGAACATGTTTGTGTTCAATCCATGATATATATTTGTTTTTACGACAGTGACAGTCTTTTTGATTTCACAGTCATTTTCTGGGTCCAATAATGGGTAATTTGAAGAATCTTGTTGGTCATGATTCAAAATAGTCTTTGGTCCTGTTAACCATGAAGATGATGCAAGTTCATTTGCAGGAATAGAACGTGTTCCTACATCAGCTGGATTCTGGTCTGATGTCACAAAGATCCACTGTTCCGACTTTGAATTGGTAAGTATCCGTTGGACTCGGTTTGACACATATGTATGAAATCTCCTGGTCTTGTTGTATAGGTAGCCTAAAACAACACGACTGTCAGTGTAAAATCTCATGTCATGAATCTGAATATCAAGTTGGCTTTCAACAAATGAAGCAATCTCAGTAGCAAGGAGAGCGGCGCAGAGTTCCAGTCTTGGGACTGTATGACCATGATGAGGGGCCAGCTTAGATTTTCCAGTCACGAATCCTAGGTAAGTTGTTCCCTTGTTTATAACCTTGATATATGTGACAGCAGATATAGCCTTAACTGATGCATCTGCAAAGGTGTGGAGCTCAATCCTTTCAGCACTCTTTAAAGATACTGGTACATATTGTCTTGCTATCTTCACATTACAAAGATGATGAAGTGAACTTCGCCATGACCGCCAGCGCTGAAGTATGTCCTTAGGAAGAGGATCATCCCATCCAATTTGAAGTTGCGTAATGTCCCGAAAAATAAATTTTCCGGCCAAGATGACAGGTGACAGGAATCCTATAGGATCATACAAGCTATGTAAACAAGACAACACACCTCGCTTAGTTTCTGGAACATCTTTGAGATCTGTTGGAAAGGTAAATACGTCCAGTGATAAATTCCAACTTAGACCCAGACTACTCTGTGTAGGCGTTGTATGTAGATCTAAATGTACATCACTCAAATCTTTTGCTCTGTCCTCTGGTGGTAAAGAATCCATGACAATTTGGCTGTTGGAAGCGAATTTGTGAAATCTAATTTTGCCTCTATCTCTTAGAATCTGCTGTGTCCGTAACAAGATTTCTAAAGCTTCATTGTCTGTATCATAGGATGACAGTCCGTCGTCGACATAAAAGTTTCTTGTAACATAATATTTCACATCTATATCACATGGTTCCTCTACGCATCTATGAAGACAGTATGTGGCGACAGCGGGTGATGGTGAATTCCCGAATAGATGTACACACATTCTGTAGTCTTGAAGAGACTTAGTAGGATCATTGTCTCTAAACCAAATGAAACGAACGAAATTTCTGTGTTGTTTGTCAATGTGAAACATATGAAACATCTGTTCTATATCTCCCGTGATGGCTACACGTTCCTTGCGAAAACGTAAAAGGACACCTAGTAGATTGTTAGTAAGATCCGGTCCTTGCAGCAAGGTAGAGTTCAATGAATGTCCTTGATAAATAGCCGAAGAGTCAAAAACCATACGGATCTTGTTAGGCTTTTTAGGATGGAATACTGGAAAGATGGGAAGATACCAACATTCTTCTCCCTCCTGAACCTCTGGAGCTTCCTCTGCAAATCCATGATTAAACACATTTTCCATAAACTTTATGGCTAAGTTCATTTTCACATGATCACGTTTAAAAGACGTCAGTAAAGAATATGTCCTTTTCAACGCTTGCTCTTTGTTGTTAGGTAATCTATCTCTGTTCGACTTGAACGGTAAAGGAGCTGACCAATGTCCGGTCTCGTCTTTATGGCACTTTTTGTCCATGATTTCTAAGAATTCCCTGTCCTCGATTGACATTCCCGGAATGTTATCGTCTTTGGTGCGTTCAAAGATCTGGGAAAGCTGAATTCCCTCACATGAAAAATGATTGTCTATATCATTTTCATACGTTGAGATTCTTAGATTTGATGAACATGGGGTAAAGTGAGTTCCTCGTCCAGATGGTAAAATCAGAGTCTTGTTCACAACCACATGTTGAGGTCTATGTACTTTGCTTAGGCAACATTCCCCTATAACGGCCCAGCCTAAAGGAAGTCGCTGTGCGAAAGGTAGATTTGGATTACCAATCCTTTGCTCCAACACATGATGAGCATTGGGAACATCACGTCCAATAAGAAGCACTTCCGCTTCATCGTCTATTGATGGGATCTCAGACTCCAAGTCTGATAAATGTTTGTATGGTTTCACTACAGCTGGGGTTGGGATCTCCTCGTATGATATTGGGATGTCATCACATTCAATAATTGATGGTAAGTATATTTGTTCACCACTGTGTATTGAAGATACCACGTAATCAAAGGCCTGTCTCCCTGAGACCATGGCTGAACCACTGCATGATGACAATGTATATGAAATGTCTTGTCCCTGGATTCCAAAGTTGTCAAAAAATGATGACTTTGCGAGTGTCTTGCTGCTTTGATCGTCAAGGATCACATAAGCTCTTTTCTTTAGATCTTCTCGACCAACTGGAAAAATGTTCACTAAGATAATCTTTGCACAGGATTTGCCACTGAATGCAGGCGAACAGACTTGAGTACAGTTTGTTGTAAAAGATGATGGTATACTGTTCTCCCCGCCATGCGAATTCTCCTTATCCTCCCCGCCCTGGGAACTGTTAACATGTAAGGCACCACAATGTTTGTCACTTTGACACACGTCACACTTAAGCTTCACATTACAGTCTCGCGCTAAGTGTTCCTTGGAATCACAACATCTGAAACAAATTCCGTTTTCCTTGAGAAGCTTTTTCCTGGAACCAATAGGAAGGGTACGAAACTTACGACAGTCTTTGATATTGTGATTTGATTCAACTCTATGTTCTAAAAGACACGGTTTTCTTTGTCCTGTTGACTTGCTAGGCTTAACATCAGTTTTCCTTGAACGAATCGGTCCTGTGTTTTTGGGTTTTATATCTTTCTTTGTAGGTTCATTGAACTGTAATCCAGGATCATTTCTCACACGACACAAGTTTTGAACAAATTTCACAAAGAAAGTAAATGGTGGGTACGGAACACTGTAACGCTCCTTGTACTCTGAAGCCTTCGATATCCACTTCTCTCTCCACTGATAAGGAAGTTTGCTTACTATTGGTGCAATTCCAAGAGAGGTGTCATAGTAAGATAATGCTGCTGAATATTTAGGGTTCTTTTTCACACCATCAACTTGTGTCAGTAGATCAGACAGTTTGTAAAGTTCTTTTGGATCTTTTGTCGAGAGTTGCGGAAAAGCAGCTAACTTTGATTTCAATGAATCATCAATGAGTTCGATAGCCCCATACCTTTCATCTAATCTTGACCATATTTGATGTAGTCCCTCTCGAGGATTTTCAGCGTTTGCTTGTTGTATGTCTGCTGCGTGTTTGGAGGACTCTGGTCCTAGCCATCGCACGAGTAACTGAAGTTCCTCAAAGTATGAAATGTTCAAGTCTTTTACAATCGAAGTGAAGTTTAACTTCCATGCATTGTAAGCTTCTGGTTCATCATTGAAGTTTTTAAATCGCGACAACAAGACTTCCTTCCTTAGTAGAAATTTAGTGACCGATTCCATCGAATCCTCCTTAGGTTGAGTATGGGAAGCCTCCTTTGGTTGAACAAATTTGGGGTTCACATGTGCTCCAACACTAGAGTCTTGTTCCTGAGAAACACTAGCTACAAAGTCTGCAACTCGCTGTCTATTATCACTCGGTAATTCATCTAAGATTGAATTCCGCACACTTTTACTTTCAGTTTCTACTTCCTCAAACACTCTAGCTTCCGCATCCGCAATTGCTGCTGAACACGTTTGATCCAGAATTTGAATTTGTCCTTCGATTTTTGACTTCTCTGTTTGGAGGTCCACTTGTTTTCTTATAAACGCTAATTTAGTTTTTTCTGCTTCTGCCTTCTGACGTAAGTGAACACGTTGAGACCTTGACATTCCGCTGACAGAACTTCTCGTATGAGATCGAGATCCTTCCGAACCACTTGCTCTTGATATGGTGTCGGCTGCTTCCAGCAGGGCATCCTCGATTCGGTTTATGAGTTGATCTATGACTTGAGAACGTTTCTGGAACCTTGGTTCTTGGACAGAATATTCTTCAATGCTTTCTCTTGTGTTTGTTCTTTTAAGAAAAGACATAAATTCACTTGCACATTCGGAATAAGTAATTTTAAGTTGTTGAACTTCTGCTTTAAGTTTACGTAAGTCTTTGAAATTTTTCTGATCTATATTTTCATCTATGTCAACTAACACTTCTTCAATCATTGACCATGCCTTTTGTTCCTGAGAACTATATCTCTTGAGAAATGTAAAAAATTGTTCCATGCCTTTTTCTGTCCTTGTTTTGAGTCTTTTTTCCTCACCTTCCTCTGTAAGGAGTGTCTCTTTTTCACTTTCGCTCGCATGGACTGTGGGTTTTCCTTCAGCACATTCCTCTGCAAGAAGTGGCTCTTTCTCGCTTTCGCTCGCACCGACTATGGGTTTTCCTTCAGCATCCATACTGATAATAATAAAGATCAATAACTTTTCTTTCTATGTACAAATGCATTAACCAAAATAATATGCTATTGAGAAAATAATCTGACACCAACAGATCACAAAAAAAAAATGTTTGACAATATTATATGGTGTCAATACTGAGCATGATCAATCTATATTGACTGCATTATTGTTCAATTCAAACAATGTAAGCATAATGTTATTTATAATGTTACTGATATGACAC